TAATGAGATGTTCATGTGATTTGATTGTATGTGAAATAAATAATGATGCAGAGTACTATAACTTGGTAGGAGTTTGGTAATAGCTATTAATATGATTTAAGAGCCTTCAAATATTTGAAAATTGTCCAGTTGTTATAAATGAAGTAACTGACTCATACAAAATCAACGAGCTCAAGTTGGCTTATTATCCTAAGCAAGTTATAAAGCTCATGTAGAAATTTCAACATTTTACCATTTCTCAGATTTCAAGAGCTTAAAATAACAAGACTAAACTTTTTAACCACGTTAACTAAAAAACGACTAACATAAATGAAAAGCTGAAGTTATTCTAGTTCAAAGTTGCTAAGTCCTAGAGCCAATAATATTTTGAATCCCTGTTGGTAGAGGGTCTTTAAGTTCAAGCCTATAGTATACAACGTTGGTTGTTCCTCAGCCTCCATTACACTCACTTTTCAAAGCTAGTAAGAGGAGCCCTGGAATAAGTTAAAGAACACAAGCTCGAGATCACAAAATACTTTTATAAAATCTTTTTGTTAGAAGAACAAGATAATTGGAGGCAATGTTTGTCAAATGCTTCAAAAGGAAAACAAACATGAGAATAAATTGATTGTTGCACAAATCAAGAAAAATGCTCTATAATATGGTTTTTTCAGTAACTCTCTGCCATAGATCCTTTAGCTTAATGTAGCTATGATGACCGGAGATCAGTCAAGCTAACGAGATTGTGGTTGAGTTCATGATTAGACCCTAAATGGCACCAAAGATGAAAATAATGACTTATTAAATTTTGTTGTGCCTATAACCCTCTTTGTAAAATCGAAGTCATTATTCTTATATATTTTAGCATGAATGTTAAAATTTTGTTTCTCCTGTAATACAAGAATTTGTTTCTAGGCTATCATAGTAGCCTTCCTGAAAGACAATTGTGTTTCTAAAACGTTTTATTTAAAAATTGTTATCATTTGCCTTGTAAGACATGGGGTAATTTTAAATCTTTATATTTAAAATTTGTTTGGTCCCCGTTTTTAAGAATAAGGGGGATGCACGAGAGTGTGTCAATTATAGAGGAATTAAGTTGTATACTTTAAAATTATGGAAGAGAGTAATTGAACGTAGTTTAAGACGTATTACAAAGATTTCTCTTAATCAATTTGGATTTATGCCGGGCAGGTCTACTATAGAAGCTATACATTTATTGAGAGGTTTGATGGAGAAGTTCAGAGATAATAACTAGGATCTACATTTGATTTTTATTGATTTAGAAAAAGCACATGATAAGGTTTCAAGAGATATCCTTTGGAGAGTTCTTGAGAAGAAAGGTGTTGATATGTCTTATGTTCGAGTCATTAAAGATATGTATGCTAGAGGTGTTGCTTGTGTTCGAACTGAAGGAGGATTGACCAAATATTTTCCTATTTCTGTTGAATTACATCAGGGATTGGCTTTAATCTTGTATCTTTTTGCTTTAGTTATGAATGGTCTTATTGGACATTTACCGAAAGATATACCTTGGTATATGCTTTTTGCTGATGATATCCTTCTCGTGGATAAGACGAGAGAAAAAACCCAGGAAAAACTTGAATTGAATTATGGAGGTCTATATTGGAGTCTAAAGGCCTTCATTTGAGTAGAACTAAAACTTAATACATGGAATGTAATTTTAGTAGTAGTAGTTCTAGTGACAGAAGTGTAACTTTGCGTGATCAAATTATTAAAAGGTGTGATCGATTGAGATATCTCGGGTCTGTTGTTCAAAGTGATGGTGATATAGATGGGGATGTTAATAACAGAATTTAAGTTGGTTGATTGAAGTGGACAAATGCTTCGGGCCTTTTGTGTGATAGAAAAGTACCGCTTAGACTGAAAGAAAAATTTTATAAGAGAGTGGTGAGAACTGCAATGCTCTATGGCGCTGAATGTTGGCAATTAAAAGAGAAGCATGACACTAAGTTAAGTATTACCGAGAAGAGTGATTAGGTGGATGAGTGGCTTTACACTTAGAGAAAATGTGAATGATTATATCTATGATAACGTTGGTGTAGCTCCAGTGACAAACAAAATTAGAAAAAGTCGTCTTAGATGGTTTGGTCACATTAAATGCGGCCATCTAATGATTCAATTAGGAGAGTAGATGTTTTAGCTTCGACTTATGTTAAGAAAGACAAAGGTAAACCTAGGAAGACTTGGACTTATAGTATAAAAAATGGTCTTAATCTATTAGAACTAAATGAAAATATGTCACTAAATAGGATGCCATGGAGAAAAAGGATCCATGTAGCCGACCTCACGTAGTGAGATTAAGGCTTTGTTGTTGTTCGTTTGTTGTTATATTTTAAAGTTTGTCAAATTTCTCTATAGTACCGACCCCACGTAGTGGGATTAAGGCTTTGTTGTTGTTCGTTTGTTGTTATATTTTAAAATTTGTCAAATTTCTCTATAGTAGTTAGGCACTGTTTTTTTTTTCTTTTTCATTTTTTGGGTCAACATGATGTTTTAAGCGAGAACACTGCCTAAATATTTAAAATAATTGTTGATAAGTTTCATCCAATTACATGACTACAAAAGAGGGAAATTTAATCTTCATACAAGATACATGTTCAAGCTAGTTTCAAAAGGTAGATGTTTATCTCTTTGGCTTATTAAAACCTTAAAGAGCTGAAAAGGTTTCTAAATTTGTAAGCTATAACCAGATAAGTTAGGAGAAAATAAGTTTTTCATAGCTATGTCAAAGACTATTGAATTTTGAAGGTCAAAGTCAACATGCCCAAATTTGTTAAATTTGCTAACTATTCTAGTCTCTTAGTAAACTGTAAGAGTTGTCGTAGTTAGAGAGCTCTAGTTTTGAAGGTTGTCATATAGATGATCTTTATAGCAAATATTAGGATTTTTAAATGCCTAAATTGTAATATCTTAAGAACCAAGAAGGAAGATGTTTAAATTTGTAAGCTCTATCCAACAAGGTAGAAAAGGTGAGTCCTTAATAATTTAAATCTAGAGCTCAATTGGCTTCTAAGAGACAAATTTTATACACCTAAATATAGCGAAGTTGTCGATAGTTTCACTTGGTAAGCCATAAAATCTCATAATGAGATTGACCACTTTTCATTAATTTCTATTTGTCTTGATGAGTTAATAGGGCCAAGTCTAAAAAAAAAATTCACTTGGTGAAGGGGCCCAGGCCAAATGCTAAAAAGAATAATCATTTTTTTTATCTTATTTTGTCATTAAGCCTAACCTAGCACAAAACTTAGACTGAAGGAAAAATCTTCTTCTTTATTAAGTCCTGATGAAGCGAATAAGAAACACATGATTGAAGATATTATCCTAAGTATTTTTCAAAGCGCGAGGCTAAATTGTGAGAATCAAATATCATTTAGCAAATCAAAACATCAAGCGCTAGATCGACGATTTTCTATCATTTATTTAATATAAGCCTTTAAGATTAGGTCATTGGTGTGGATCTTTCAAGCAAGAAGCATAGGCTTAATGAATTAAATTATAAGTTAGAATTCTTTATCAATTTTTTTTTGGCACAATGCACTTACTGATTGCTATTTTGATTGGCTCAACATGCTATTATAGACCTGCGAAAACAATTGCAAATTTGATGTCTAATGCTAGAGTCAAATAGACAGCATATTGATAGTAAAGGAGAGAATACAAATATTAAGATACAGCAAACATACAATATGAAATAAATTAAAACAAATAAAGTGGTAAATCTCGAAGTTGCATCATCACTTCAACAAGAGTTCGTTGTTTAGTTTCAGCAGTCAGTAAGTCTTCCATATTTAGAGTCAATGTATCCCAAACATCAAGAACAACTTATTGACTAAGGTTGTCAAAAAAGCTTGTTCGTGAATAATCCATATTTGAGTAGTTAAGTAGCTCGTATTTGATTTGTTTGTTAAGCAAGCGAGTCACACACATAAAATTTTTCTCGATCATGTTTGGTTAGTTTTGACTAGAATTAATTAAACAATTGAATAAATAATATATATTATCAAAATTTTACATTATTATTTATGTTGTATTTAAAAGATATTTAACTTGATTATTTTTTTAAATCATTTGAGCTAGATTCAAGCCGAACAATAGTCGCAAACAAATAAGCAAATTAGAATTGAGTCAAACACTACAAGCTATTTAGAATATGAGTCAATTTCAAACCAAAAAAGTTTCTAGCGAGTTGAAGATGAATAAATATTGGGCTTGCTCAAACTCAGCTTGTCTACATCCCCATTGGTGGTGGATTGCATAATGACACTGCTCTCTTTCAATAGGTTTACTAATAAGCATGATATAGCTTGATGAAAAAAGTCATGAAATATTATGTTCTAGTTTTTCTATCATAGAAAAGGGTGGTTACCAATTTAAGTGAACCTTCTTCCATGTCTTATTTTGGTTGGTATGTTACATGAGCATAAATCTGAATACTTGTGTCAATTATTCAGTTTTCTCACCGTGGCCAATATTTAACCTCTTGAATGCTCTATTATCATATCTTGAGCTTGACAACCGTATTCTGAAATATAAAACCAAATCCTAAATCAGCACTCGCAAAATTTCTTAAAATAAATACAACATAAGCATCATTATTTTTGAAATGGAAATCATACCCGCAAGTTTTGCAAAGTAATGGTGATGATGAAGAGTTTTTTGGGGTTGGTTTTCCCTTTTTTTCTCTCTTTTTTTTTTTGTTTTATTTTTGGTAGATCTGATTTCCTGTGAGCTCAATTTTATTAGATATTTCATTCAAGTATAATACTTTAATGGAAATAGAATGGAACATCATATCCTGATAGTATGGGCCTCAGAAGCCTGAATTGAGTACAAAATATATATTGCACCCATCTAAAAGAAAATTCAAAGATTTTCACACCTTATTCAAACGTGTATATAGTGATTCAATTTTTTCCCCTTTTTTGCTTTTATTTTTCCCTGCCTACCGAAAACTCGATGGTAGCTTGTGTTTCTTGTTGAGATTCAAGGTTGATGTTATGAAAGTCAAAATATTCACAGGAGACAAATACCTGAAGCCAGTAGTAATATCTACCCCAGAGATTGTTATTTTAGAAATAACACCTGAAGATGAATGCTTGATAATTGCTAGTGATGGGTTATGGGACGTCATCCCCAATGAGCTCGCCTGCAATGTTGCTAGACGTTGTTTGGCGGAGGCAGGTCCAAAATTGGCTGAAAGAGGTCTAAACAACCAAACTTCAGCTGGAGCAGGTCCAAGCAAAAATGAAAAGGACTCGGTAGCGCCGGAGGCATGGTGCTCCATGGCGGCTGCTCTACTTGCGAGGCTCGCACTGGGAAGGAGAAGCACCGATAATATTAGTGTGATTGTGGTTGATTTGCGGAGATGCTAACTGGTAAGGAAACAGTTTTTCGATTCTGTTGACATCGACAGAAAAAGGAGCACTTTTAGAAGACAAACTGTGCAGAAAAAAGAGGACATTGGGAGATATTTCGTAGAGATTTGTTTGTTATTGTTTTCATTGACGTTAATTTCCAGCTGTCTTAGCTTAATTTTGAAAGAAAAGCTTGTTGAATCATCTTTTGTAAGTTTTTCGCTCTGTAATCAGGGCTTGGTTTTTGCTATGGCTCTCTGGGAAAAGGAAAGGGAGTTGCTGCCTTTTGAACAACGGCTGTAAGCATAGTGAATTCTGATGAGAATTTGCAAATGTTTATGTTGTTAATAAATAATTACTTGTACACTCATGCTGTTTTCTTTTTTGGAGTATGTTACCTATATTAGACAGGTTGGTTGGCTAACTTTAGAAACCATGTCCAATTCATTTAGACTAGTTGAATCTTGTAATCCTAATTTTCTTACTTGAACCCATGCTAGACAAACTCAGAACTCTGATTCAAATTTATATAAAAACATCAAGTTGAAGCTTAGGAAGGCCCTTGGTTCAAGTGGTCTTACTAAATTGTAGGTTCCCATAGGATTTGATTTAATTATATCTGACCAAAATTGAATTTAGCCTTGTCAAGGCTAAGCTACTGCTGGTTTATTGATTTAAGATGGTTCAATTCATCTTAACAAACTCTTCTTTGAACCGAACTCTCTCTTTGGATGGTTAGCTTGGTCCAATAGAAGTTATTTCCAACATCTGCTAAAACGCTCATTTAGCTTATTCATACACAATTATTCGAACCTAGACCAAATTGATTCTCAATGAAAACTGACATTTTGATTAGGAGCTTAGTGTAACATCATCATGTTACTCTAAGTCATGATCATATGATCAAAGAAAATGAGTGTAGTGTCTATGTTTAGTGTGGACTGAGCATTGTTCTAGACATTGTTTGCTCAGTGTTGAGGCACACCCTTTGTGGCTCTATCTTGAGTTTCTCAGGTTCATTGTTATGTTGAAATATCGGATTCATCAGAATAATGCGTTGGCTAATGAAAAGCAAGTTATAGGACCCTCCCCTTAGGAATTTTTCTTGGTTAAGCCATTGAAACCTAGACAAATTATATTTGAGCTTCCTCCTTTCCAGCTCATCGATCTGATTTCATTGTGCTTGAATCAGTGGTTAATGCTTTATGCTTTTTAGGTCTACACTTTGAGGCTACTCAACCCAATTGGCCAACCCTAAGACCACAGGGAGCTTGGGCTTGGCAATTGGGTTTGAGGACTCTAATAATGCCTAAGTAGCATTCAAGCTTTTAGATTTTATATTCATTTGGTTATTTTTGTCGGTATGTTACATGAGCATAAATCAAAACATTTCTGTCATTTATTTGGTTTCCTCATTGTTGGCCAATATTTAACCTGCTGAATAAATATGCTAAACTTGACAACCATATGCTGAAAAAAAAATAAAATAAAATCCTATATTATTTTCCTAAAAATAAATACATCATGATGAGCTAACCCTTGCAGTGGAATTTATATCTGCACAGTCTTTAACAATAACAGAGATTTGTTTCCAAACAACACAAATCACATTACAAAACAAAGGTGACACTAAAGAGTTTTGCGAGGGGTTGGTTTTTCCTTTATTTTTTTTCGTTTTTTTATCTTTTTGGTAGGTCCAATTTCCTGCGAGTTCAATTTTGGTAGAACTTTCATTGAAGTATTATACTTATATTGGAAAAAAGATTGGATCATCATATCCTGATAGCATGGGACTCAAAAGCCTAAATTGATATTACAATATATGTGTAGTACTACAAAATATATAATCTCTTTTTTATGGGCACATATCTTTACGGCTAAGGAATGGAAAATCTTTCTCTTGTTACATGAATCAAATGTTTCATTTCATTCGCGAAAAGCCATCTCTTTCTCAACAATGTCTTTGTCATTTGATCCAATAGATTTTCAATAGATAGAAACAGATTTTATAAATATCGATAACTCTCAGATAGAGTATTAGAACGGAAAGATCCATTAGATAATGAACTATTGGTTCTAAACTATCTCTGGCGATGAATCAACAATTCGAAGTGTTTTTCTTGCGTATTCTTGATGAACCAACGGTTATATATAGATGTAGGAGGATTTGTTTGGGAAGCAATGAGCCCTTTTGACATCTCTTCATCTACAAAAAATTCTCGACGTGAAAACACAAAGACAAAGGGCTGATCTTTGAATAGGGAAAAGGATAGATCCGCACGGTCCCAAATGCATTGGCTTGTTCGAAAAAGGCCTTGTTCTTTGGAAGATCTATCTCGTGTCTGGTATTGCATGGTTCCACTCTTCAAGAACTCCAAATCATTCTCTTGAAGCTCACCCTCTTTATGATGAATGATTCATTTGCCCCGAAATGACCCAGTCCAATAGGGAAATCACAATTCAGTGGGTTTTTTGATACAATCAAATCGCCATATTCTAGGAGCCCAAACTATGTGATTGAATAAATCCTCCTCTATCTGTTGCGGATTGAGGGCTACTTCCCCTTCTTTAAACTCCGATTTGTATTTTTCATATAGAAATCTCTGTTACACCCATCTCAAATATAATCAATGATTTTCACATTTGGATATAGTGATTCAAAATTTTCCCTCTTTTATTTCTTAGTTTTTGCATGCCTGCAACAAAACTTGATGGTAGCTTGTGTTTAGATTCGAGTTTGTTGATGTTATGGAAGATGAAATATTCATAGGAGGCAAATACCTGAAGCCTGTAGTAATTTCCAATTGTCTTCGCTTACTTTTGAAAGAAAAGCAAGCTGAATCATCTTTTGTAAGTTTTTTGATCCGTAATACCTTAGCTACTCTTCTATGAAACCCCATACCTCTCTCTCTCTCTCTTAGATGGAGCTTTACCCGATAGACCATAGTTCCAACATAAGTTAAAATGTTCATCTAGTTTAATTGTATTCAATTGATCATACCTAGCCCAGCTGATCAAACTATTGTGCTACTTAAAACTAGACTTGGAGGCTAGTCAACACATTTGGCCAACTAGTAAGATCTGTCATGAATATTATTAAATAGGATGAGATTTAATTTCAGATCTTTTCTAAATTAGGTATATTCTTAATTTGTAGATAGAGGAGTGTATATAAGTATGCATCATATGATTTCAATTAGGAAATAAGAAGAAAGGAAGATTTCAGAGCTACACATGCCTTTGGCATCGTTCTGCACACGCGAGTGCGGTCTTGACGACGTCGATCGTCTTTATTGGCGTTGATCGTTGCATTGTTCGTCAAAGCGTGCTCTTTGGTTGTCTCCATCGGTCGTCGAAACGAGTGCAGCCCTAACTCGTGATGTTCTCTATGCATCGTGTGGCCTCGTCTGCAATGATCAAAACTTCCTCTTGCCGCGACAAAATTTGGGCATTAGCCAAGTCCTCGTTTGCGACGTCAACATCGTCGTTGGATTTGGTTGTGACTTCTTCATCACCGTCAGCTTTGTCTTCGTCTGGAAGCAATTTCTCCCGACGTTATCGTTCATATCTGTCTTGTTTTTCTTCGATTTTGTGTTCCGTTCTCCACTCTCATTGATTATTTGTGTGTTCTGGCCCTGTCAACATCTACTTTGGTCCATCTCTTTGGATGTGGTGTTCCGTTGTTTACATAGTCTTTGACTTTTGTCATTTTGCCTTTTAATGCTGATTGCCATGGAACATGGCTGGTGAACACAAACATTTTATGATAAGCTTAATTTCATCAATAGCTAACATTGTAGATAAAAATTTAAATGACATCAATTATTTTTAATGGAATAAAATTGTGACTCTTTTTAAGTAATATTTATCAAGAGAGACCTCACTGTTGTGATGGAGAAATTGGCCTTTGTGTTTTTTGGGAGGAAATGTACCTTGATTATTTGATGTATGTAAGGAATTTTGTTGTGTTGAACAACATGAAGAGTTACTTAACACATAACGCGTACACCTTTAATGTGTATGAGGAATTGAACGCTCTATTGCACTTTAGTACAGTTGTCTGTATTCAACAGCCCAAAGAGACCAAATGAGTTGTGAGTTTTCCAATTAGCCTGAACACTTAGTATGAAGGTGTTAAATCTCATAGCTTATCTAACCTTGAATATACAACTCTGAGGGAAGCCTATACTAGAGTCCTGCGTATGATCACGAGTTCAGTCTCATTTGTATACCAAACTAGTGCCCTTGCTAGTATGAAAAATAAACATCAGTGAACCTTAGTGTCAGGGCGGTTATAGAAGTGGAACTCTGAATTTTGGAAACCAAGGGTCAAAGGTAGTGTGCTTTTACTGTCATAAACTTGGTTAAACAAAAAAAAAAAACATGTCAAAAGTTGCTCAAAAAGAATCAGAAGGATTTTATATCACAGTCAGCTCACATTGTCACTACTACTAAGGCTTTTTCGAGCCAGACTCCCAATCTCTGTAGATGATTATACCAAGTTCATCAAATTTTAGGAAGTATTCAAGAAATTTCCATATATCACTGCCCTTGTCAAGTCAGGTAAGAATGATACTTATCTTTTTTCTTTTTCCACACAATGGCTCTTTGATTTCAATGCTATAGATCACATGAAAGGCAGTCCAAAACTTTTTTCTACTTTTCATAAACACCTTTCTTTCATAACTTTAGTAGATGGTTTTATCTCTAATGTTTTTGGTTTTGACACCATCAATATTGCACCCACATTGCCTCTAACCTATGTTCTTAGTTTACTTTGTTTATGTTAGCAAAATTACATATTTTCTTAATTATTATATCTTATTCTTTCTCAATCATTATCTCTTTAAAGATCTAATGACAAAGAAGATTATTGGTATAGGGCAATAATCAAGGGAATTATATATTATGAATAATGAGGTATCTCGACTCATCGTCTGCTCTAGCATCTTATCTTCTGTTGAGATCCATTGTTGATTAGAACAACCATCTTGATCAATGTTGAAAAAGTTGTACAT